TGGGGGGAAATCTCCGGGGGGAAATCTCCAATCTCCGGGGGGAATCTCCAATCTCTGGGGGGAATCTCCAATCTCTGGGGGGAATCTCCAATCTCCGGGGGAAATCTCCAATCTCCGGGGGAATCTCTGTGTCTGAGCAGCCCTCGGGTCCAGGGGCAGCCGGGGGCACCCGCAGGAAACTGGGAATGGCTCCTTGATCTCCAGGGGGATCCAATCTGCCTGCCAGGGCCGCCAAACCTTGCCAGGGCCACCAAACCGTGAATGCCAGGGCCACCAATCACTGCCAGGGCCACCAAACTTTGTCAGAGCCACCAAACTTTGTCAAAGCCATCAGTCCTTATCTGCCAGGGCACCAAGCTGTGAATGCCAGGGCCACCAATCATTGCCAGGGCCACCAAACCTTGGGAGCCCAGGGAGGGAAAAGAGGAGCCCGGAGAGGGAAAATGGGACTCAGGGAGGGGAAATGGGACCCCGGGAGGGAAGATGGGATCCCAGGGAGGACATCCAGGATCCCCGGGCACAGCCACCCGGTGACCTCTCCCTCGCCGTGCCAGGTGCGGGTGTGGCGCTACCTGAAGGGCAAGGACATCGTCACCCACGAGATCCTGCTGGACGGGGGCAACAAGGTGGTGATCGGGGGCTTCGGGGACCCGCTGATCTGCGACAACCAGGTGGCCACGGGCGACACGCGCATCTTCTTCGTCAACCCCGCGCCGCAGGCGCTCTGGCCGGCGCACCGCAACGAGCTGATGCTCAACTCCAGCCTGATGCGCATCACGCTGCGCAACCTGGAGGAGGTGGAGCACTGCGTGGAAGGTGAGGCTGCTCTGAGGGTTTTATGGGTTTTTTTGTGGTTTTGTGAGGTTTTTATGGGGTTTTTGTGGGATTTTGTGGGGTTTTGTGGGGTTTCCAGCCCCTGGATGGGCAGTGCAGCTCCAGGCTGATGCGCAGCCTGAAGGAGGTGGAGCACTGCGTGGAAGGTGAGGCTGTTCTGAGGGTTTTATGATTTTTTTTTTGGTTTTGTGAGGTTTTTATGGGGTTTTTGTGGGGTTTTGTGGGGTTTCCAGCCCCTGGATGGGCAGTGCAGCTCCAGGCTGATGCGCAGCCTGGAGGAGGTGGAGCACTGCGTGGAAGGTGAGGGTGATCGGGGGCTTTTGAGGGATTTCTGTCGGTGTTCTGGGTTTTGTGAGGTTTCGTGTGGTTTTTGTGGGTTCCCAGCCCCTGGATGGGCAGGGCTGTGTGTTTGAGGGGTGTCGTTGCTGGTCCGTGTGTTCGGGGTGCTGGTGGCGTTTGGGGTCGGTGGGCGATGGGCAGGTGATGATTTAGGATCTTGTGGCGTTGGTCTCGTTGCTCTGTGAGCTCCCATCACAGCCCCTCGGGGTCAGTGGTGCGTGCACAGGTGATTTAGGATCACCCTGCCCTGCTCTGTGTGTTTGGGGTGGAGCTGGCAGCTCCTGGCCAGGTGATTTAGGATCTGCCAGCTCCTGGCCAGGTGATTTAAGATCTCTCAGCTCCTGGCCAGGTGATTTAGGATCTCTCAGCTCCTGGAGAGGTGATTTAGGATCTGCCAGCTCCTGGAGAGGTGATTTAGGATCTCTCAGCTCCTGGAGAGGTGATTTAGGATCTCTCAGCTCCTGGCCAGGGGATTTAAGATCTCTCAGCTCCTGGCCAGGGGATTTAGGATCTCTCAGCTCCTGGCCAGGGGATTTAGGATCTGCCAGCTCCTGGCCAGGGGATTTAGGATCTCTCAGCTCCTGGCCAGGGGATTTAGGATCTGCCAGCTCCTGGCCAGGTGATTTAGGATCTCTCAGCTCCTGGAGAGGTGATTTAGGATCTCTCAGCTCCTGGAGAGGTGATTTAGGATCTCTCAGCTCCTGGCCAGGGGATTTAGGATCACCCTGTGTGTTTGGGTGGCTCACTCTGCACTCCGAGTTTTTCCAAGCAGTCCCAGACATCCCCGAGCTCTCTGCGGTCTCTTCCAGCCCCGCTGGCTCCTGGAAAAACCAACAAATCCCGGCCTGAGGAGCTGCCCTGCCCCCCGGGAGCCATTCCCGAGCTCCGGGCTGGGAGCTCAGCTCCAGCACTTGTGTGTGGGTTTTCCCTCAATAAAGTGATTTTTTTCCCCTTTCCCTTCCTTCCTCCTGCTCTGTTTTCCATCAGAGATAGCGAGAGCAGCGTCAGCACCTCGCTCCCAGCAGCTGGGGAGTGTGGCAGAGGGGAAGGAAGGAGGGGAGAGGGAAAATCCAGCACTGGACAGCCCCGGGGCCCCTTCCTGCTGCCTCACCCATGGCAAGGAAGGAATCCTCCCAGGGATTCCATGGAAAACGCTCTTGGAAGTGCTGCAGAGGCCGCCCTGCCCTGTGTCCCTGTCCCCATCCCTGTCCCCCAACCCAGGGTCCCTTCCCTGCCTCCCTCCCTCCCTGTGGCAGAAATGCCAAACATCCCGGGCGTGCTGAGCAAATTCCTGTGGAATTTTCATCGGGAGTGGGAGGCTGGGAGGGCTCCTGTGGCCCTGCCAGCCTGGAATTCCAGCTCTGCATCCCTGGGATCCTGCCCTGCCAGCCTGGAATTCCAGCTCTGCATCCCTGGGATCCTGCCCTGCCAGCCTGGAATTCCAGCTCTGCATCCCTGGGATCCTGCCCTGCCAGCCTGGAATTCCAGCTCTGCATCCCTGGGATCCTGCCCTGTCAGCCTGGAATTCCAGCTCTGGATCCATGGGATCCAGAATCCTGCCAGCCTGGAATTCCAGCTCTGCATCCCTGGGATCCACAGCAGCCTCCCCCTGGCACCCTGCCCCGACCTCTTCCCGGGAATTTGGGCAATGCCAGAGCTCCAGGGGATTTGGGCACTTTCCAGGGCTATGAAAGGAAAATCAGGATTATCATTGGTGCCTCAATTCCAGGGAATGTGGGGAATTCCCAGGGCTGTGAGGGGAAAAATCAGGATTATCATTGGTGCCTCAATTCCAGGGAATTCGGGCAGTTCCCAGGGCTGTGAGGGGAAAATCGGGATTATCACTGGTGCCTCGGTTCCAGGGAATGCCAGAGCTCACCCAGGGGTGCGGGGGATGCTGGCAGGCTCCTGCCCTGCCCGGAGCAGCTTTTCCGGGAGGATTTTCCCAGCCTCGTGGCCGTGCTGGGCGCGGGAAGCGGCCGTGCCTGGGTTTTCCGTGGCTCCATGGCGATGGAATTCTCTCCCGGCCGTGGGCCGGATGTGTCCCGTGGCGAGGCTCCTTTGGTGTTTTTATCTCCCGAGGCCCAGCTCCGCTCTGGAGCCGCTCGGAGCATCAAAGGCTGGATTTTCCCAGCCCCTTCCGCAGGAAGCGCAGGGGCTGGGCCGGGTCCAGGGCTGATTTTGGGTGCAGAGCTGGTTTTGGGTCCAGGGCTGGTTTTGGGTCCAGGGCTAGTTTTGGGTCCAGAGCTGGTTTTGGGTCCAGAGCTGGGCTGGGTCCAGGTCTGTTTATTGGGGTCCAGAGCTGGATTTGGGTCCAGAGCTGGTTTTGGGTCCAGATCTGTTTATTTGGGTCCAGAGCTGGTTTTGGGTCCAGGGCTGGGCTGGGTCCAGGGCTGGGCTGGGTCCAGATCTGTTTATTTGGGTCCAGAGCTGGTTTTGGGTCCAGGGCTGGGCTGGGTCCAGGGCTGGGCTGGGTCCAGATCTGTTTATTGGGGTCCAGATCTGTTTATTGGGGTCCAGATCTGTTTATTGGGGTCCAGAGCTGGATTTGGGTCCAGATCTGTTTATTGGGGTCCAGATCTGTTTATTGGGGTCCAGAGCTGGTTTTGGGTCCTGTTTTTGGGTTCAGAGCTGGTTTTGGGGTACAGAGCTGGATTTTGGGTCCAGATCTGTTTATTGGGGTCCAGAGCTGGTTTTCGTGTCCAGAGCTGGTTTTGGGGTCCAGAGCTGATTTTGTGCCCAGGTCTGGTTTTTGTGTCCTGGGCTGTTTTTGAGTCCACAGCTGGTTTTTAGGTCCAGAGCTCTTTTGGGGTCCAGGGCTGGTTTTTGGGTGCAGAGATGCTTTTTTGGTGCAGGGCTGTGTTTTAGCCCAGAGCTGCTTTGATCCGGGACACATCCCAGACCTGCTGCCTTCTTTTTCCTTCCCTGGACAGATGGACCCAGGTTCCTGCTCTGCTTCCCCGGGGTTTGCTCAGGGAAGGGAAAAGGAGCTGGAATTTCCCTGCTGCTGGAGTGGGGTGCAGCATTTTTTGGGACTCTCTCCGGGTTTCATGTCCTGTCACAACAGGATCCTTCCACTTGGGAGTGATGGATAAAAGCTGCCGGGAGGTTTGGGAGGGGTTTGCCCTGCTCCAGATCGAGCATTCCTGCCAAATTCCCTTTAAACTCTGCATCCCAAAGCTCCCGCTGCCTCCAGCTGATCCCCTCGGCGCTGCTGTGGCAGCCCCCAGTTCCCAGGCAGAAATCCCAGCTGGAATTGTTTTTGCTGGAATTGTTTTTGCTGGAATTGTTTTTGCTGGAATTGTTTTTGCTGGAATTGTTTTTGCTGGAATTGTTTTTGCTGGAATTGTTTTTGGGTTTGGGGTTCCCTCCTGCCCAGCTCCTCCTTTTCCATGGAACTTTTCTCCTCCTTTTCTACGGAGCTTTTCCAGCCTGGGCAAGGGAGGAACCCGAAAGGGAGGAGGAGCTTTAGGAGGGTGGTGGGGCATTCCTGATTTTCCCCTCACAGCCCTGGAAATTCCCCAAATTCCTGGGAATTGGGGCACCAGGGATAATCCTGATTTTCCCCTCACAGCCCTGGAAAGTGCCCAAATTCCCTGCATAATCCACTGCAGCAGCAGTGGATTAGCTGCAGCCTTTTTTACCCATTTTTTACCCATTTTTACCCATTTTTTTACCCATTTTTACCCATTCTCCACCCATTCCAGCGCTCAGCTGCAGCACAGCAGGCTGGGACCATCCCCAGGGAGGATTTTGGGACATTCCAGGCGTGGGAACCCTTTGGAGAAGCTCTGGAATGCATCCCGGGGTGAAAGAATCATATCTGAGGGCTGGAATGGGTGGAGAACAGACAAAAAATGGGTAAAAATAGATAAAAAATGGGTAAAAATAGATAAAAATGGGTAAAAAATAGATAAAAAATGGGTAAAAAATTAATAAAAAGTGGGTAAAAAATGGGTAAAAAATAGATAAAAAATGGGTAAAAATAGATTAAAAATGGGTAAAAAATGGATAAAAAGTGGGTAAAAAATGGGTAAAAAATGGATAAAAAATGGGTTAAAATGGATAAAAACATGAGTAAAAAGTGGGCAGAGACTGAGCAGGCCAGGCTGGAGCAATCTGGGCCAGTGGCAGGTGGAGCTGGCTGGGATTTCAATCCCTCCGAGCCGAGCCTGGTGACTCTGGTGGCCATGGGGTGGCTCTGGTGGCCCTGGGGTGACTCTGGTGGCTCGGGTGTCTCTGGTGACTCTGGGGTGGCTCTGGTGGCCCTGGGGTGGCTCTGGGGTGGCCCTGGGGTGGCCCTGGGTGGCTCTGGTGACTCTGGGGTGGCTCTGGTGGCTCTGGGGTGACTCTGGTGGCTCTGGGGTGACTCTGGGGTGGCTCTGGGGTGACTCTGGGGTGGCTCTGGTGACTCTGGGGTGACTCTGGGGTGACTCTGGGGTGGCTCTGGTGACTCTGGGGTGACTCTGGTGACTCTGGGGTGGCCCTGGTGACTCTGGGGTGGCTTTGGGGTGGCTCTGGTGACTCTGGGGTGGCCCTGGGGTGGCTCTGGTGACTCTGGGGTGGCTCTGGTGGCTCTGGGGTGGCCCTGGGGTGACTCTGGTGACTCTGGGGTGGCTCTGGTGGCTCTGGTGGCTCTGGGG